TGGTGGTGGTGATGATGGTGATGATGGTGGTGATGGTGGTGATGATGGTGATGGTGGTGATGATGGTGATGATGACGATGGTGGTGGTGATGATGGTGATGTCGATGAGGATGATAGAAAAATCATTTCCTGGGGGTGGTCTAGAGCTAGTAGCTCCTGTCATTCAGGTAAGGAGGGTTGTTCCTCTAATCCCAGAAACTACCATGATTGAAAGAAGTGGTGGTCATTGGCAGAAAGTCCCTCTGGACTGGCTGGGAGAGGGGAGCAGAAGGGAGGAGCGTCTGGACACTCAGGCTCTGCACCCTCCTCGCCCAGGCTGGAAGCCATGGCCCGAATGGCTGCCATGAAGGACCGCCAGCAGAAGGACATCTCTCAGTACAACCTGGAGATCCGGGAGCTGGAGCGTGTCTATGACCATGAAACCAAGCTCAAATCCTTCTTGCTTGTCAAGCTGAATGATCGCATCGAGTTCGAGGAGCAGGCCAAAAAGGAAGAAGGTACACCCTCCTGAGGGGTAGAGGGGACCAGACCTTAAACGATGCTGAGAAGCTTTAGCTCCATCCCAAGGAGAGCGGGGAGCCACAACATGTAAAAGGGTCACGTGCCTAGAAAGATCCAGAAAGATCCTTCTGATTGCCACATGGAGGTCAAATCAGAGAAAGAAGACTGAGTTCAGGAGAGTTGGGGCTATTGCAGGTGTCAGGCTGGAGAGAACACAGCTTGGAGAATGTTCTTGGTTCTGATTCCTTGAATTTTCCAAGTTCTGAGCCTGCTGAAGGCCCTCTGCCAACAGGGCTTCCTTGACCCTCATCCTACTCAAACGTCACCTCCTTAGAGAGGCCTTCCTGGCTCCCTCGCTCCCCCATCACAGCACATTTTGTGTCTCCTCCATTGCCCAGGCCACAGTGGTAATTGTTGGATTTCTTTTTCTGTTTACTTGGATATCTCTTTTTCTTTTCTCTTTTTGTCTGATTCCTCCAGTAGAAGCTCCATGGGGCAGGGATTTTGTATCTGCAGAGCCCAGCACAGTGTCTGGTGCGTGGTAGATGCTCAGTTAGATACCTGTGAAGCGACTAAGGAGTGATGCTCCTGCTCCGTCTCCTGGGAAGGTTGAGCCTCCCCCCCACAGCACAACGATAACGATACAGAGCGCATCTCTCTGCCTGGCACCGCTCTGAGTGGTTCCTTTTCAGACTCACCACTGACGCTTCTCCCTTTTCTAGCTCTCAAGGCAAAGAAGCGCGGGAAGAAGAATAAGGGCGAGAGTTTGGAGAGCTACGAGGTGGCCCACCTCCGGCTGCTGAAGCTGGCCGAGGATGGGAACCTGAATCAGCTCATTGAGGAGTTTCTGGCCAAGGAGGAGGAGAACTTTGCTCGGTTCACGTACGTCTCAGAGCTCAACAGCGACATGGAGACGATGCACAAGAAGACCGAGAGAATCCAGGTCGGGGCAGCCCTCCTTTTCCCGTGACTGGGACCCGCCCGCTCCCACAGCAGCCTTTCCCAAAGTGGGTTCCTCAGGACACTCCTTGAGATGCTCTGCAGGAAAAAGAGCCTCAGGGTCAAATCAGTTTGGGAAACACTATATTCCCCCAGGGTTCCCCTCTACATTTTAACCTTTCTGAAATTGTTTTTTGTCTTTTGATCCATACAGACATTTAATGTGGTCATCTCCCCTCACCTCCAATAAGTGACATTTATAATCCATGGCGTGTTTTATAATCCGGGGTTCAGTAAGCTATAGTGATGGCCAGATATGGCTCGGGGCCTGTTTTTGTACAGCCCATGAGCTAAGAAGGGCTTTTTACATCTTTAAAGGGTTGTAAGAAGAAAAATCAAAGAGGAATATTCAAGACAGACCATATGTGGCCTGCAAAGCCTAAAATATCTGGCCCTTTGCCTTAAAAGCTTGCTGACCTCCGTTTATCAACAGCTTCACAGAACTGAGGAGAGATGGTTAGTTTATCTTGGAGAGAGTTGAGGTACATGAGCAGAGTCAAGGCTCTGACAAGTCCTGCAGGAAAGAAACCCGTTTACCTGTGTTGAACTCATAATTTCCCAAACTTAATTGGTTCCCTTGCTACTGACTCCCCAGAACATATATAAACAGCCTTTGGAACCGTCTGCACAGGACAGAGAACACACTCCGTAGTGTGACATGGCAGCCCCTTCGAAATTTGGCTTCAACCTGCCCCTGCAGGCTCGGCTCCCATCACGACCCCCAAGGCGCCCTCTGCAGCTGTCCCATGCATTTCCCTCCTCTGAGGCTTTTCTCGGGCTGCTCCACACACACACACACACACACTCTCACACACGCACACACACCCCTCCCCCGCCCCCCTGCTTTTCCTCTGATGAAATACCGCTCTTTAGACCTGACCCTGCACGCATGTCCCCTCCTCTGGGAATTCTTCACTCCTCCCTGGGGAGCCACTTCCTTCTGTGATGTCACTACTTCCTGAATGCCGGTTCGTGGATGCTGGCACGCACAAGTGAGTAGGAGCCAAAATATAGGTGAAACCTTTTAATTTATTAGTGATGACTTAAGTTTAATGAGGATTAGGAAAAATATAGCTTGCCGAGCAAACTTGTGATTTAATGGATATGATTACTTAGGGTGATAAGTAATAATAATAACAGTAAACAAATAATGATCAACATAATAAAATTGGTTGATTACAAGAAAACTATTAATAGGTACTAATAGAGAGTGATAGATAGTAATAGGACAGGCGGCACGCGAAAATGGTGGTGGTTGCGTCAGTGAGGGTTGTCGCAGGAAACAGACGCAGCCCCAAAATGGGTAAATTGAGGAGAGCTTTTAAAAAGAGACGATTGACTAATCTAAGGACATTGAGAGAGCACGGGGCCAGCAAGAGAGGGTTGCAGAAGGGGTGTGAGATGGGGGCTGGGAGCAGTTTCTGGAACTGGGGAGAGGTGTGTGGAGAAGGCTGTCCGTGCCTCTTTCCTGGAGGGATGTGGCCAAGCCAGTGACCTGCCAGGGGGTGGGCAAGTCGCCCCAACCTCACCCCCCTCCCACCCTCCCATCTCCCTGGTGTCTCCCATTGGCTGGCCCAACCTGGGCCAGAGGGCAGGCAGCCCCTGCGGGCCTGGGGCGGAGGGCGAGTGGGGGAGGTGGGTGGATTTGGGGCAGGGGGACACATGGAGAATGTCCAGCCGGTGTGTGTGAGGAGTGGGGTGGGGGGGTGGGGGAGGGAAGCCTCTGTCCCCTTTCTGGAAGGCGGTCTTCCAGAGGACAGCGCCCCAGCGTACTCCCTCTGCGTTCCCAGGGCCCAGGGCGGCCCTGCACACCGGGGAGGCCCCAGGAAGTGGTCCCTCCGCAGTCATCGACGTGACCTTCCCACTCCTCTTGCGGACTCTCCTTCCGTCCTTTAGCCCCACAGCCTGGCTCTGGCATTAGGACAAGAAAGACGGCCAGGGGCCAGCCCCGTGGCTTAGAGGTTGGGTGTGCGCGCTCTGCTGCTGGCGGCCCGGGTTCGTATCCCGGCTGCACACTGAGGCACCGCTTCTCCGGCCACGCTGAGGCCGTGTCCCACATACAGCAGCTGGAGGGATGTGCAACTATGACATGCAACTATCTACTGGGGCTTTGGGGGGAAAAATAAATAAATAAAAAAAGTAAAATTATTAAAAAGAAAAATAATCAGCTCAAAATAATCCTTAAAAAAAAAAAAAAAAAAAGAAAGACGGCCAGACTCCTGCCCTTTCTGGGCCTCAGTCTCCCCATCTGTACCGTGTCGTACTTGGACTAGAGCAGTATGTTCCAAACTTTTATAAAAAAGCTACGGAACATTTCTGTTGAAACCCAGTCAGGAGGAAACACCGGTATAGAAAACAGATAACATGGAGCAGTCCCGGATGAAGGGGTGGGGAGGGTCGTGGGAGGGGGTGCCCAGGACCTTACCTTTTTGCTTCTTGTGGCACCTCTGCTCAAAATAGGGTTCAGGTAAAAAAAAAAAAAAAGAAAAAAGTTAAAAGCAATTAGAATTCTAACATCTGATGTCACCCCCACCTAGAAGGCTGGGGTCAAAGGTCGTAAACTGGTTGAATCCTGCCTTCATTCTTCTTTTGCTTGGTCTCTTCCACCCCTCAATTTTTACCACATTTAAAAAATCAGGATATTCCACATGAAAATCTGGATTTCTGGTTTATTTTGGAAAATGAGATCTGACAACTCCAGCCCACATTCCCGCCGGATGCTGAGCACCCTGCCCCCAAAACCGGGCCAGGCCACTCGCCCACGTTCGCCGAGACAGCCGAGTCTGAGTTGCGCGTGCGTCCGAGGCATCCAGGCCCGCGAGCCCCGAGGGCCTTTGAGGTTGCGACCCCCAGTTCAGGAGCTTCGCCACTGCCCTCTGGTGGCCATCTGCGGCATTGCAGGGAGGGTCTTGGAGGCAGAGATTTGAAGGAAGGAGGGTGGGGTGGTCCCCCTGGACCTGGGAGTGGGCAGGACTCTGAACCCTCATTTTCCAGGAGGGAGCACCTTACATGCCGTCAGCGGGATGACGGAGAAAAGCCATAGCAGAAGGATGTGAGGACGCCAGTCGCAGACTGAGCCGACCAGGAAAAGTTTCCTGAGCAGAAGTGACCTTGATCTTCCCCCCTCCGTGAGGGTCCCTCTCTCCTGGCTGCACAGCTGTCTCGGGCGTAGGACGAGCGTGTCTGATGAAGGATGGGCGAGTCCCTGCCCTCCCTGGGCTTAGTGTCCCCGTCTGTGGAATGATGTTTGGACCAGAACAGTAGCTTCTGAGGTCTTTTTTTAAGTTAAGAACTGTGCATTTTGGGACTTAAATAGAGCCTCAAACGCCTATTGAATAAGTCCTGAAAACACTTGTTTCCAATGGGAAGGCTTAATAATTTAAAAATCTTATAAGAGAAAGATATGCTCATTGTAGGAAATTTGGAAACTACCTAAGGGTATGATTTTTTAAATTGCCCATTATCCCATTGCCTAGAGACAATAGTTGTTGATATTTTGATGTTTCCTTCTGAATTCTTTTTTTTTTTGGTGATGGTTTTAAAACTTAACATAGTGATTATTATATAGTATATGAAGTCATATATTGAAAAAAATGTTCTTTTAAATACTTGTTCATCCCGCAAGTATTTATTGAGCCCTACTGTGTGCCAGGCACTGTTCTGGACGCTAGTACTATGGCAGTGAACAAATTGACACAAAGCCCTGACCTCATGGAGTTTCTGTTCTGACGGAGAGAAACAGACAATGAACAACAGCCTAATAAATATGTAAATTATATAGTGTGTTAGAAAGCGAGATGTGGTGTGGATAAAAGATGAAGTGGAGCAGGTCCTGAGGATTCTGCAGCAGGTGATGGCCTGGGCAATTGAGAAGTTAAGATCTGAGCAGACTTGTGGGTGAGGGAATAAGCTGTGCAGATCTCTGGGGGAACGAATGTTCCAGGCAGAACGAATAGCAAGTGCAAAGGTCCTGAGGCAGGAAGTGCCTCAGGCGCGAGGGCGCCTGGCGTGGAGAGAGAGATGGGAGGGGGAGGAGGCCATGTCTGAGAGGCAGGGATGGCTTGGGAGTTGGGGAAAGCAAATTCCTTGAAGAGTTTTTGGTGGTGGTTCTGAGAAACAGAATCCGTGGGAGAGTTCTGAGCAGAAGAGGAACACCATTCGACTCAGGTATCGACACAATTTGGCAAATATTAAAAAGTATAAATATAAACCCCAAAATCAAGCAGAATCCCATCACCTGGACATAGCACTGGTTGATCTTTTTGGCAGAGTTCCTTCTTGGGTTTTTTTTTCTTTAAAGATTGGAAGGCTCTCTTCTTTTAATTTTTTTTTCCAAAATAAAATAATTATGTTTCAGATTGGAGAGATCATATTTATGCCTAAGGGAAAATGTAATTCAGAAAAATATAAAGAAAAAGTGCAAGTCACCAAATCACCACTGGGAGATAATGCCAGATTCTGGTGACATTGCTTCATGAAGACAGAGTGTGTCACTCTGGCACACACGCACACACACACACACACCCCTGCAGACCCCCCCCCCACACACACCTAGATGCCCGTTTATAATACCAGGGTCGTACTAGAGTTCCTGCTGGTTTCTGAACGTTTTTCCCAACAATTCTTCCTTGATGCCTCCCAACATCTTCTATGTTCTTTTTTTTTTTTCGCTGAGGAAGATTGGTTCTGTGCTAACATCTGTTGCCAATCTTCCTCTTTTTCTTTTTTCTCCCCAAAGCCCCAGTACATAGTTGTGTATCATAGTTGTAGAGTTGTAGCTCTTCTATGTGGGACGCTGCCTCAGCATGGCTTGATGAGCAGTGAGTAGGTCTGCTCCTAGGATCCGAACCTGTGAACCCCGTTCCGCTGAAGCAGAACGTGCGAACTTAACCACTACACCACCACGCTGGCCCCTTCTATGTTCTTTTTAATGGCTCCTGGGGACCCTGGATCCTCTGTGGTCCAATCACAAGATGCTTCTTAAAAATGCAGATCCCCAGGACCCATCCCATCCCTACAAACCTAGATCCTCTGAGAATGGGCCAGGAATCTGCAATTTACCATATTTTTATCTGAGACCCTTTCCCCCGTGATATGAATGTACCGTTATTGGTGTAACTGACCCCCTATCAGTGGACATTTTGGATGTCCCTAACTGGGGGACGTTGTAATCAGTGGCACAACGGCCAGCCGCAAGCAGCCGTCTTTGCCCACGTGTCCTGCTGTTTGCGCGGGGCAGCTTCCTGGGGATGGACTTGCTCGGTCAGAAGGCACGTGCCTTTATATTCGGACCCGCTCTTCCAGCCCAGGGGTTGTCGTCAGATCTGGCCCCTGGACCGGCAGCGGCAGCGTCTCCCAGGAACTTGTGAGAAAGGCACGTTCTCGGGCCCCACCCAGACCTCCTGGCTCAGAGCCTCTGGCAGCGGGGCGCAGCCGTCTGTGTTTCCACAAACCTCCGGGAGATTCTGATTCTCGCTGGGCCTGAGAACCCCTGCTCGGGGGCCTCCAGCCACGCGTGGCAATTCAAGTTTAAACCAATTTAAATTAAATTAAATTTAAAAATCAGTTCCTCTGTGGCACTAGCCACATTTCAAGTGCTCAATACCCGTGTGTGGCTAGTGGCTGCCTTACTGGACGGTGCATACAGAACGTCGCCACCATCGCAGAAAATTCTACTGACTACGCTGTTCTAGAAAATTCTCCAGAAACCCACCCTCCATGCCCTCATCCTCCTTTTAATTAAGAAACATCAGAAAGGACCTCCGTGGGCATAGGAGGGGTCTGGGGGTCCTGGGGCTCCTTGAAACGGATAATTCAAATCCTCGTCGACTCCTGGAGGCCCAGGCTGATTTGTCGGGGTGGTGGGAGGGGCCCCCACTTCTCCTTATGGTCTGGCTCTCTCCGCGCAGGATGAGATCATCCACCTGCGAGCCCAGCAGAAGTCCTCCCACGATGACGGCCGCTCGGTCCTGAGACAGCTGGAGGTGAGCCCGGGCGGGGGGAGCGAGGCGGGCGTCTCCGCTATCTGTCTGTCTGTCTGTCTGCCAGGGGCCTGTCGGTTGGTTCCCAGGAGGAGAAGGACGTCCACCCTATGACTCTAGTGGCCTGGGTCACTTCTTGGCGTGTCCTTCCTCTGCCCCAGACATTGCTGCGGAATCTTGTCCCCAGGGTCTCTCTGTCCACTTTCAAGACTCCCCACTTCAGGGAGCCCAGCCCAGGCCCTCGTGCTGTGATTTCATCCCCGACTGCAAACTCCAGACACGTCTCTCCCTCAGCCTCTTCTCTTCTCCCGCTTGTCCTGGCTGTGGCCTGTTCTCCATCAATAATACTTATTGCAAACATTTCCTGAGTAACTACTGTGGACCAGGCGCTGGGCCATGTGCTCTGGCAGCGCTATCTCGTTTAATCCTCACACAGCCCTGTGAAGGAGGTGCTCTGATCTCTCCGTTTTACAGATGAGGAAACTGAGGTTCCGAGAGGTAAAGTCACTTGCCCAGCATCATGGAGCTGGGATACTGTGTGAGCTTTGCATTGTATTCAGCTGCTAATAACAGGAACCCCAAATAACAATGGCCTAAGCAAGATAGAAGTTCATTTATTTTGTTAAGAAATAAGTCCGGAGATAGGAACTTTTCAGGGCTGGTCATGATGTCATCAGTGACCCAGGCTCCTCCTTTCTGTTTTGCCACCTTTAGTGTGTGGCTTACATTCCCCAAGGATGCCTCATGGTTGCTTTATGGCTGCCCACGATCCAGCCTTCACATGTACATTTCAGGCAGGAAGAAAGTGAGAGAGGCAAAAAAGGCCTTGCTAACTGAGTTAGCCAGCTTAACAACTCTTTCCCTGAAGTCTCAGCCAATGGCTTCTGTGTTGACATCTCACTGGCCATCCCTATTGTAAAGTAGGGCTGGAAATATAACTTTTAGCTGGGCACATTGCCACCCCAAATATAATCGGGGTCTTGTTATTAAGGTGTAAGGGGAGAATGGATAGCAAACGCCTGACAAAGAAATGAGCCCAGAGAGTTTTATGGCAAAGCCCTGTTCTGTCCGATAGTTCCTGGCTCAGGACCTGCTCCTGGGCGGTCTCCCTTCCCTTCTCGGCGCCTTATTTCTGTTCCTGGCGTGCTCCTGCTGGACGGCGACACCGGTGCCTTCTCTGCGGGGCCGCTGGGGGCAGCAGAGCGCCTGCAGCCCCTCGAGCCTCTCCCAGGGCAGGGTGTGGGGAAGGAGACTTCCAGGCAGGGCCGCCCCGAGGAGACCCTCCCCAGGCTGGGCACACGCCTGGGCCCCCCGTCCTCGGCTCAGGGCGTCCAGATGCTCCCGTAGGGTTGAGACGGGGGCCGCTCCGCATCGCCCCACCTCTGCCTGAGGTCCTCTCTCAGCTCTGTGCTCCTCTGGGTTGAGCATGACTTCCGGAGGCCTCTTTCCAGATGCAAATACTCTAAACGGAGAATTTGTCTTCACAGCAGTGGGCTCACAGAGCCCGTTTTTCTCAGCCTCTGCTGAAGATCACTTCTGTCTGCTCTATTCCTGGAACCTTTCCACACGCCCTCTGTGTCATTGTCTCCTGCCCCTCTGGGAGAAGTGGGGGGACCTGTCCCTTCACAGGAGGGAGCAACACAGGAGCTGAGCAAACAGGCCTGGGGAACAAACACTCGGGTATGCCTCTCAGGAAAGCTCCTTCCTAGCTGTGTGACTTCAAGAAAGTGGCTTAACCTCTCTGAGCTTCCGTTTTCTCACCTGTAAAATGGGATAATCGTCACTCTCACTTCCTAGGGCTGTGAAGGTCGAATAAATCACGTATGTGCACGCTTGGCACACTGCAGGGCAGAGAGCTCTGCACGTGGCTGTCATGATGTTGTTTGTCCTGTAAGTCAGTAAAACCACAAGTCTCCCTCACCGTGTTACTAAATAATTGCCCCGGTAAAGAGCTGTGCCCAAGGTCGGGTACTTGGACACCTCAAGACAGGACAACTCAGGCCAAGGTCACATTCCTTCTCTAAGTTCCCTGGGGAAGCTGACGCTGCCCGTCCCGGGACCCCACTTCGAGAGCCTCTGTTTTAAATTGTGGGTGGTGAAATCGGTTTGTTGGATTGTAACCAGCATTTAAAAACAAGACAGAATAGAACAGAACAGAACAGAAAATACTTGAACACACGAAGAATTTTGACCTGTGCAACTTTAATTTCATTTGATTAGATAATGTATATAAACACACACACACACACACGTATGTATCTATATATTATTGGGCTGCAAGGTAAATTGTATTTCTTTCTATGGGCCACAGTTTTTAAAAAATGAGTCACCAGCTTTGAAAAAATACTGTAATCCAGTACACACGCAGACACACTCACATATACGTAAGTGAAACGTATATTAATATAATAAACGTATATTAATATAATATAATATCGTTAAACGATATTTACCCTTACTACTCGCAATGCCTACTAGCATTTTCTGTTCCTTTCTTTTCTGGTCTGTTTTGTTTCATTTTTAAAAAATGCCCGTTGAGGCCCATTAAATTGACTGCAGTTGGGGAAGCCTGGCTCCAGAGGGTCCCAAGCCCTCCTCCCCACCGAGAGTGCTCGTGGGCGGGCAGAGCTCAGGGGGCAGCCTGGCTGAGCCGGGTGGGATCGGGTCCGCCCCCAGGAGAAACTGAGGAGGACCACGGAGGAGGCGGACATGTACGAGGACAGCTGCAGGGAGATCGACAAGACCTTGGGGCATCTCAAGAGCTCGGTGGAGAATCTGTTTAAGAAGATCAATTGTGACGCCACCAAGATCCTGGTGCACTTAGGGGAGACGGGGAAAATCACCGATGCCAACCTCCCGCAGTACTTTGGTGAGTCAAGCTGGGGCCCACTGGACTCTTAGGAACCATTTCCAGAGCTTTCTGTGACCAGGCACGAGGGCTTGTTCTTCTGGAGGTAGCGAGCCCGGTGGAGAAGCACGTGGGCGCTAACGCCAGCCTGCGTGGGTTCAAATCCTGGTTCTACTCTAACTAGCTGTGTGACTCTGGACAACTTTCTGAACCTCTCTGTGCTTCAGTTTTTTTCATCTAAAAAAAAAATGAGGGGTAAATCCAGTATTTACCTCATAAGGTTGTTGGGAGAATTAAATAAATTAACAGTTCTTAGAGAAAAACTAGATGATCATCTCAATAGATGCAGAAGCAGCATGTGATAAAATTCAACATCCGTTCATGATAAAAACTCTCAACAAACCAGAACTAGAAGGGAACTTTCTTAACCTGATAAAGGGCATCTACAAAAACACCGCCACTGCCCCTTCTGAAGCTGGCGCCACCCCCCCCCATTATCCCCTCTCCTGACGGTCCTATCGTTCACCACCCCCCCAGCTATTATCCCCTCTGGTGATGGTCCTATCACTTAACAGTCACCCAGGTAGTTGTCACTCTCTGAATGTATGAGAGTCTTGAGATCCGATAGCAAGTTCCAGATGCAAATCCATCTGGTCCCTGATTTTCAGAGAGAGTAGCAACAGGACAGATAGTGTGAGGTTCATTCAAAGATTTTCCAAGTCTGGTGGTTGCTGAATTGCGATGAGGAGCACCTGGGCGGTGCGGGATACACGCGTGTGTCTGTTGAGCTTGCGTGTCTCTCCGTCCCCCGCGCGCTGAAGTGTGCGCGCTTCCCTCGGGCAGGGCCCGCCTCTTTGGGCTTGTTTTTCCTCTCTGCGTCCGTGGCCTCTAGCGCGGTGCCTGGCGTGCTGGGCGTCCAGAGGTCTGTGGAATGAATCAATGAGTCAACGAGAGAATGATCGACTCTGGTGACTGCTCGGGGCTAGGAAACACAGTGGGAAGGGCAGCTCCCCCAAACGAGGAGGGTCAGGGAAACATTCCTGCGGGTGGCGGGGCCTGCCTCGAGTCTTCAAACACCAGTAGGGGCTATTCTGGGAAGGATGGCGGAGAGGCATTTCAGGTGGAAGGAACAGCATGGGCGAAGGCCTCGCAGCCTGAGACAGAGAGCGCTGGGGAAAAGTCAGTAGTTTAAGGCGGGGCTGCCCGTGGCTCCCAAGTTTTAGTGTAACTGGTGTTTCTCAACCTTCTTTTCATTATCATGCCCTAAGGAGCCTTTGTAGATGTTTCTTTCCTAATGAAATTTTAATACTGTCATTTACTGCATGGCTATTGATGTCCTGTATGTACACCTGTGCTTTAGACTTTGACTCAGATATTTTTGGCTTCTCAAGAACCAAATTTTGCCCTCTAGGGGGTGATGCTGCCCCCTTGAGAATGCATATGATGTAACCCAAGGGAAACCCTTGACCTTATAGGATCTCGTGATCCACCCCCGTTCCTGCCTTCCCCTGTAGCAGGGGCGCCCCCCACATCCCAGGAGCCCCTGTCTTGGCAGCCATCTGGGTTCTGCTGTTTCTCTCCAGCCGTCATTGAGAAGAGGGCCAATGACCTGCTGCTGTTGGAGTCCTACAAGCGGATCCTGGAGATGGAGGGGTCGGAGACCGAGGTCCCGCCCCCCTTCATCAACCCTTTCTGGGGCGGCTCTGCCCTCCTCAAGCCTGCAGAGCCCGTCAAGGTCGTTCCCCCGGTGCTCGGAGCTGACCCCTTCAGCGACAGGTTGGATGAAGGTGAGTCCTTCCCCCCGGTCTTCGTGGGTCACTGGGTCAGGGTCCTAGGGAGCCCGTGCCGGGAGGTCGGCAGTGCTGCTCTCTCTGTGGGTTTGTGGGCTATCAGTTCCCCTGGGTATGGTCAGTTCCATTGGGTAGCATCAGTTCCAGTGGGTTCCATCAATTCCAGTGGGTTCCATCAGTTCCAGTGGGTACCATCAGTTCCTCTGGGTACCATCAATTCCAGTGGGTTCCAGCAGTTCCAGTGGGTTCCATCAGTTCCAGTGGGTACCATCAGTTTCTCTGGGTACCATCAATTCCAGTGGGTTCCATCAATTCCAGTGGGTTCCATCAATTCCAGTGGGTTCCATCAGTTCTCCTGGATACCATCAATTCCAGTGAGTACCATCAGTTCCAGTGGGTTCCATCAGTTCCAGTGGGTACCATCAATTCCAGTGGGTTCCATCAATTCCAGTGGGTTCCATCAGTTCCAGTGGGTACCATCATTTCCAGTGGGTTCCATCAATTCCAGTGGGTACCATCAATTCCAGTGGGTTCCATCAATTCCAGTGGGTTCCA